GACTGGGCTCTGGTTTCAGACAGAGGGTGATAATAGGTTCAAATGTATTTACCAGTTTATGCATTTAGGATCATTTATATTTGACAGCACAATACTTGCAATATATATATATATATATGTATATATATATTTAGTGGAGCTGATTCTGACTACTTATATGGTATGGTATATAGTTTTAAAGTAATTCAATGGAATATCTATAATACAATACTTAGAATGACACCATTCTGCATAAAGAATATAATACTTATGATACTCTGCAAATACGGAATGCAGGAATTCGAATTTTGAAGTTGTACTCAAGGTCAAAGCTACACGAAATATGCAAACATTTTTTTACGTTTATTAATCTGGCTGCCACTGAAACGTACAAACAGGCTAGAATCAAAAACACAAGGAGCGATCCCTTTCTTTCAACGCTGCGAATAACAGCAGCATGGCGTGATTCATCCATTATACATCATGGTACGTCAGTTTACAATATGAAGTCAATTATGCATACTGTCCTATATGTGCAGAGCTTCTCCCTCCGTGCTGATCAGGTCTCATGCTGAGGAGCCGGATGTGTTTCCCTGCAGCCCGGCTGTGTGGAGCTGTCCACGGTCCTGAAGCACCCCCCTCCCCCCCCCCCCCCCCTCCCCCTTCCCTGCAGAGTGAGGAGGGGAGCCTTCTGTCCGCTCCGCTTCAGCACCGCGGTCAGCGCCTGCTCCGTCTGCTGCTGTGCTCCCAAAGAAGAAACAATGAGGTCAAAAAGACAAACCCAAAAAAAGCATCCATTCCTGAGTTTGTCAGGAATGCAACGTCCTGCAAAACATCCCCGGCTCATGTCTGGTGTTCCGTTTGGGTTGAAACGTTTCAGAGAGGCGTGGATTGAACTAGCTTTGAGTGCTCTGAATGCTGTTATACTAACGGATTTGTTATTGTTTTGAGCCTGATAGTCCAAACCCAGGGTGAAAAAGTCCACCAGTCTCTGCTCCTCATTAGGCTGATTGAATAACTGAAGGTGACTCAGGCTGTATCCTGATGACAGCATTCATTGAAGCAGTGTTGTATTAGACTGCTTTACTTTTAGCTCAGTGTAAACTTCATTTTTCTGTCAAATGTTAGCATTTTGTTATGAGCATGTCATAGAAGCTTAACAATGTGAGTGTTATCATTCAGCCTTCATTATACGTTCAGCAAATGCTACCCTTCTACTACTACTACTACTAAGATTCATGATAATAACAATAACAATCTGTCAACTTTGATCTCTAACACTTAACCTGTTAAGCACCAAGCCTGTTTTTCATGTTTCAGGCTCGAAAATGACATGCCCAAAACAAATGACTACAACTTCACTTCTAAAAGGGTTATATGAATAATTTCTTTGATCAAAGCAAGGTTACATCTGTGAGTTGGATGTAGAAGTGTCAGAATCAATATACATTTTTCTCAGTCAGAGTAAATTCAGATGGAACATAGCCAAAAAAGGTAAATTCTTACCTCCGCCTAAAGAAAACACATTACTTATAGTGAAAACCACCCTTGAATGATGGGATGGTAGACTAAAAGTGTTAGGAATCCAAAGTATAACATATAATAAGTACCCTGTAACAAGATTGAGGCAAAACAAGTGACATTTGACCTTTTTAGAGAGATTTAGCAAAAAAAGTCCAGGCGGAATAAGCTTTGGGCACATTTGGGTACATCTGGTTCCATCAGTGCCATTTGACCTTTTTCAGGTACCAGACTATAACAATGGTGTATTACATTGAATTATCACCATAGGTATTCATTCCATCCAAAGACCGACGGGGTCTTAACAGGTTAAAAAGCTAAACATACAAGACAAGAGGGCATGGTCAAATATATGTGTGTGTGTGTGTGTGTGTGTGTGTGTGTGTGTGTGTGTGTGTGTGTGTGTGTGTGTCAGTAATGTTGTAGTGGACCCTCTACAGAAGAGCACAGTGCTGCAGACTGCTCTCAACAGACCAACACAGCACATTAACTCTGCACGAGAGAAACGGGGGGGGGGGGAGAGGGGGGGAGCAGTAGAGATGATAAGAGGAGGTGGAGAGAGGAATGGAGAGAATGCACCGTGTTAGAGAAAAAGAGTGAGAGAGAGGAAAAACGGGAGAGCACTAATGATCTGACGGTCTGCAGTCTTTTCCCCCCATTCTGTGGAGCTCAGCAAATACTCGTTCTGCCCCCCCCCCCCCTCTTCTCTCTCTCTCTCTCTCTCTCTCTCTCTCTCTCTCTCTCTCTCTCTCTCTCTCTCTCTCTCTCGTTCTCGTGCTGGTGGTCGAGGGGTTCTCTCGGAAAGGGAAAGAGAGAGAGGGGGGTGGGGGGTGGGTATGGGCGGTGGGCGTGAAACACTCTATCATACCCTTCCTGCTCCGCTCTAATTGAGCCAAGTGTTTTAGTAGATTGAAAGACAGTGTGGAGGAAGGGAGTGATGCAGCAGAGAGGGGGGGGGGGGAAGGAGACTCATTTTTATGCAGGACACTAAACCCAATCTTGAATAGAGTGGTTGAGGTACTCAGTATTTGTATTCTTTTAGAGACGTTGTACTTGACTACATATATGTGATTTTTACAACATAGAAAATGTAAAACGCTGACACATTATCACATCAATAATTGAACACTTTCAGAGGAACCATATTGCAGCATGAGCAGCTTTAAGTATTTAAGTGCTGATGATGCTTCATCACAACCCTTGTGATTTAAAAAACGTATAAATATGATCATATACTACACACGTGTCTTCTTCCCTCTCATAGATAAGTACATCTTAAAGGGGATCCCCACATCTAAGTGCCTCTCCAGATGTTAGCCAGTACCGCTGCATATGGCACTTGAGTAGCTGTATGAAGCCTTCAGAGGGAGCTGTGTGACGTCTGATGAATGTCCTCCAGTGATGTCAGCCTGGGTTAGGTCTGAACACTTCCAGTTTGAAAATGAATAGTGTCTTCAGGTGTGCAGTTCAAATGCAGCTGTGGTTAATGTACTCCTAATATATAGAAAGGCTACAAATATTCAAAGTTACTGTAAAGTGTGTTCCACAGAAACATGTGAGCCGTTGTTAGGACATTACACGATATGCAAGTGTTTGAGTCGTGACAACATTGCTGCTAACCAACGGCAATATACATGTTATAGAGTGGTGCAGGAATTAGTCTGAAGAACCTGATTTGAGTTATAGAACTTCTGGATTGCTTGTCTCTAAGTCAAAGGTTTTTTGGTTAGCTGCTTGAAATAAGGTCTGTGGTTAACACAAGCTGAAGAGATGTTTGCGTGTCGTCCTACGACATAGTAATATGTCACTGGTGAAGCTTTCATTTGTTGAACAAAATGGGTTGCTAACAGCTTGTTAAATGAGACTTAAAAGCCTCTTCAAATTGAACATGAAGATGAGGCCCCCTACGCAAGATGAGGCCCCACGCAGTCTGCGTGATCTGCGGGAGGGGCAGACCTGTGTGTGGTTAAAGCCTAACTTGAGCTTTTTACCTCTGGTGCAATTAAGCGCTAACCTTTATTAAAGTGGTGTTAACATGTGGAGATTATCCTGCTGAAAAGAAACGTGTAAATATCATAAATGTGTGTTTGCCACTGATCTTATTTTCTGCAATATTCAAAATCCAATTAAAAATCTCATTACTTTTTGTAGAGTGAGCCCTTGCAATGCTAACTTCCGGTTAAGCCTAAAAAAATATGTCATCACTGCACCACTCCATAGTCGCTGTTTAGAAGCCTCTGGGTGTTTCTCAATGTCGAGGAAGGCTCCTCCAGAGCCACTATTTCAAGGATGCTACGTCATCGAGTCCCGCCGAAGGGCTGTTCCAATGTCCAGGATGCTTGGAATTCTACCGAGGCCGGCGTCCGTCGTTGCGGGAAATTTTGAGGCTGCACATGTGTATCCTCCGCGGTCTTAAAATCCCCACAATGCATTGCGCACGGACCAATTTCCAAAATCTTTGGCGGAAATCGCGCTCCATTTAAGGCGGGGCCTCGAATATGACGCACACTTGTTAGCCTGTTCCACAATTCTTCGTTTTCCGAGGCTAGGAAGGATTCTTGCCTCGCTTCTGAAGGACCTGACTCGGAAGACATGTCCTACCAAGGAAGCATCCTCGACATTGAGAAACACCCACTGAAGCTAACTATCTAGCAAGTCAGATGGACGTTTTTGCAGAAAATGCAAAGGCGTGGTGACAGGGGGGAAATGTGAGGGGGTCAGGACTTTTTCCTCAGACATATCGTACAGTGACAAAGAAAACTCTATAAGACTAATTGTAATTATAATATACTATGCACAAGAAAATAATCTTCCATTGCCACCGTCACATCTCAAACTCTGAGCATTTTTTCAATGTCGTTGCACCATGGTGCAATGACAATAAAGGAATTTCTTACGAAATGTCCCAGTTTCTGGATCACCAACATCAGTGTTCGACCTGATGCAAATCCCTGCAGCAGGATCAACATCTGGCTGAAAAAGTGGAGTGCAGGCTAGAGGACATGTTTTAGGTCAACAATGTGTGTGATAAAGGAGTCCATATGTCCGTGAACATTTGCTGTAAGAAAAACAGCTCATCTAGTTTCTGTCTCTCTGCTTCTCAGCTCAATGAATCTTGCAGTGGAATCCAAGGATGCAGCAGATTCTCCAGAGAGCCAAAAGAGAGCCAAAAGAGCCCGAGGAAAAGCATCTGATCAGCGGCAGGCAGTCCTGAGCTAAATAACATCAAATGATCCGGTAATATGCATTCAATCAGTCAGTCAATCAGTCAGTCAGCGGGCACAGCTATTGATTCATAACATCCGCATCCCATACTCTTTCTCTCTCTCTCTGTCACACACACACACACACACACACACACACACACACACACACACACACACACACACACACACACACACACACACACACACACACACACACACACACACACACACACACACACACACACACACACACACACACACACACACACACACACAGGCAGACTCCTCCTTCCCCACCTCTCTTCTCTTCAGCTCAGTTGACTCCTTGCAATTGCCGGGACGGAGCACCAGCAGCCTGCAGAGCGGGGACCGGTGGTTGATGGGGACGGGGGCCAGTAGCCGCAACAGCAGCAGCAGTCGGGCGCACCGACCGAAGCATGCTCCAGCGCAGCCATGACTTGCTCGGCGTCAGATAGCGAGAAGATCGTGATCAACTGTGGAGGGATCCGACACGAGACTTACCGGAGCACCCTGAATACGCTGCCTGGCACGCGCCTCTCCTGGCTCACGGAACCCGACGCGTACAGCAACTTCGACTACGACCCCAAGTCCGACGAATTCTTCTTCGACCGCCACCCGGCCACCTTCGCCTTCATCCTCAACTACTACCGCACCGGGAAGCTCCACTGCCCCAACGATGTGTGCGGGCCGCTCTTCGAGGAGGAGCTCGCCTTCTGGGGCATCGATGAGACGGACGTGGAGGCATGCTGCTGGATGAACTACCGGCAGCATCGCGACGCGGAGGAAGCCCTGGACAGCTTTGAGCAGCCCGAGCCGGACGCGCCCGAGGATGACCCGGCGCTCACTGGCGGGGCGGACGGAGACCTGAAGCGGCTGTGCATGCAGGAGGACGGCCGCAGGGCCACCAGGTGGGCCGTGGTGCGGCCCTTCATGTGGGCGCTGTTTGAGGACCCCTACTCCTCCAAATACGCACGGGTAAGTTGCTGGACAAGTGTCTTTCTTCCACTACTCAACCACCTTTTTGCGCATGATAGCGTGCGCGTCCTTTCTTTTTTTAATCTTTTTAATCTTTCTTTCTTTCTTCCTTTCTCTCTTTTATTCTTTGATTCTCTCTTTCTTTCTTTCTTTCTTTGTTTCTTTTCTTTCTTTCTCTCTTTCATTCTTCTTTCTTTTCGCTCTGGCGCTGCGCATACGTACCCATGTTTGGAACAATTGTGGCCACTGCGCATTGTGTCGCGTAAAGTTTCTACTGGAGGGGGAGGATTTCAAATCACTGCAGTGTGTTCTCCTCTTCTCTCCTCTGCTCTCCCCTTCCTCTTAATCTCTCCACTTAACACGAGTGTGTTTAAAGATGTGGCCATGCTGATGACTTTCTGTCAGTGCGCATCAGTCCACCCTTCTCTCTTTCTCCTTTTCTCTTCTGTGTCTACATGTGTGTCCTTTTCTTCTCCAGCTATTCTTAACAGTGTTAACATGATTTAACCTAATTAGGCATGACCCTAATGTGGGACCTACTTCTCAATCCAAATTTGGATTTTCCTCCAGTCGATGTATCACACAGTTAAAAGTATAAGTGAAAATCCAGAGGTCAGTGTGTCCTGCTATGGAGGATACTGTAAAGCAGCTACCTCACTGCATCCAGTAGGTTGCTGGGTTTTTGTGTGTGTGTGTGTGTGTGTGTGTGTGTGTGTGTGTGTGTCAGCACTAGACATGTGTTCCTGGCAGGTGGGGGTGAAAGCATTTGTACCTTACGGAGTGTCTGATGGAGCAGAGACTGTTCCGTTGTAAAACACGTATCCCTGTGGTAAACACACATCACTTCAGTCCGGATACACATTTCATTGTTATCTGCTAAATATTAAAGAAACATTAGAGCTGCTAAAACTCTGCACTGCGAGAGGAGTTTTTAGAGGAATGTCTTGAAGGATCCAGTAAGGCTGAAACATAAAGTGTACAGACGTTGTCAAGCTCTATAAACTCTGATTGAGAAATTCCTCCCAACACTAATGCAGGACAGTTTACCCTTCATGGAGAGGAGGGGTCAGGGTGGTGGAGTTTGTGTCCCATGGCAACACCCAAATGTATTAGCACACTTGTTTCTGACTGCTTCTCTTAGAAGATTGGAAAGGTTTGGAAAGTGTGTGTTTGTGCAGTCGCAGTGTGATTTAGAGGGGGGAACAGATTTACACGCTGAACAAAAGCAACGACTCAGGATTATATGAGATGGAGGATGGAGGGCCCGCCCCCCCCCCCCCACCTGGCATTAATGATCTGGGAAGATCTTATTTGTCCTTTGCAGTTTTAAAACATATAACCTAATCCAATCTGTAATGATTGTGTGTATAAATACGATCAGCCACTGGCAATCAATAGGAGGGAATAGATCTCTAAGACGAAGGGCAATGCGATGTTATGTATATTTCAAATCCTTTAGTGATTCCGTCTCACCTTCTCCTGCAAGTCATGTTCTCATCTTTAAATTCTCTCATCTTATTCTCAGTTTTCCCTTTTCAAATCTTGATTTACAATTCCCTCTAACTCAGTCCTCCCGCCCTCACCCGTTCCCCCCCCCCCCCCCCCCTGCTTAAGTGTCTCTAGAAATCTATAGCCGTTTGCAGAACCCGAGGCCGGTGCTGACCACTTTTTCTGTGGACTCTGCCATACGCAGAGACAGCATATTGACCCAGTCACTGTGTGACTTACATGTTGACACACACACACACACACACACACACACACACACACACACACACACACACACACACACAAACAAACACACACACACACACACACGCACGCACGCACACACGCACCCACACACCCACACACACACACACCCACACACACACACACACACACACACACACACACACACACACACACACACACACACACACACACACACACACACACACACACACACACACACACACACACACACACACACACACACTAGCCTGATGTGAGAACATCGTTAATGCACATATTTAAAAAAACTGTAGATACAAGGGGACATACACACGCGTCATTTCCTAAGCACCATTGGTCCAACGAGGGTCCACAGACCCCTTGTGGCTTGAGCAGGGAGCTCATGAGTACATTTCAAATGTAATTCACAACATCTATACAATTATAACAAATTGCATTTTGGAGAAGCATGTTCCAGCCCATTACTCCCAATAATGATGTCCAAATCAATGATATTTAGGATCAATGCAGGGGGTTGTGAGCCCTTTGCAAAACGCAGTTTTCATGCTGCAAAAAACCTGCATTTACTCAGGCATTTTCATTTGGCATACCATGATTTCCCCCTACTCTTAACTGACATGCTTAGGTACTGTAGAAATAAAGAATGGTAACCTGGCAATCAATATAATCCAGTGGTGCAGCGATGACGTATTTCTGTAGGCCGAAATGGAACTTAGCATCACAACAGCTCCCTCCACCAAAGCAATGGGATTGTCCCGTGCGACTTTAGCATATTTAAAAAAATAAGATCTCTGGTAAACACATGTTTATGAAACTTATTTTGTTCAGAAGGGTAATCTCCACATTTTAAAACCACTTTTATGATTCTTAAAACGTTAGGCTATAAATGAAACTAATCATGGTCACATCGTTGAGCATTAACCACCGCTAAGCTAAAGGTGGCTAATGCTTGGTGTGATGACGTATAGCTCATTTAGCCACTTGTTAGCAACCCCTGTTTTTAAGACACCTACAGTAGAAGCTTCAGACATTCACCAGCGGGGTATTTACTAAAGATCAACTCTCCTGCTCCTGCAGACCTTTTTCCCGGCATCTAACCAAAAACAGGTTAAGAATAAAATGAACTTCAAGACAAGAACACCTGAAGAGGTAAAAGGCTGACTTATTGGAGGGTTTTAGGACTCATTCCTGCACTATTTTGTCCACTACCAACATTCTTGCCAGAGATAAGGTTGTCCATGCCGCGACATAGACAACAATAACACATTCAAAGCAGCGGACAGGTGAACAACATTTCCAAGAAAGAGTGCATGCTTTCACTCTAGTGCAGTTCAAGTGAAGAGCAGAAGTGATGATGTACTGATGCAGGTGTTCTTAGCAGGCGTATTGTACTAAATGTGTTTTACACGTACTTATCATGTACAGCTGCAGTGTAGGTCTGTGAGGCTCAGTACTGATGTACACACCATCATACGAAATAAAGGACAACAGATGACAACAGTGAGTTCAGAAGGAGTGGACAGCACTCTTCTTCGTTGGTGTTGCATCTAGATTCAGCTAGCAGGTTTTTCATGCATAAAACTTGTCAAGTCAGAAACTTCAACGGCAGCCGAACAAGCGATCGAAGAACCAAAAGGGATTGAGAGTATAAAAAAAGACAAATATGACGGCGGGTATGGGGGAGCATCGGTATGACAGCTGGGGGTGACTTTGAAAGTGTTGCAGTCAATAGTTTCGGTGCCAGCGTGGTGACATAAAGATGGGGGGGGGGGGCAGCAGTGTCAGGTAGGCTGAGGTCAGGCGGCCGGCATGTTTTAGCTGATTGGCTCGCTGGGGAAGGGCGAGCCGCCCGTCCCTGCCAGCGTCCCGCAGAAGAAGAATGTCGGAGGAAGCGATGGAGAATAAATGAGAGCTTCGGTTCGTTATGAATATGCTACATCTTTTGCAACGGCAGCATCTCTTTCTGCGCTTCTCCTTTCCCTCTTGTCCTCCTCTCTTCCACACTCTGTAGTCAACCCGCCCCCCCCCCCCCCATTCCCTTTCTCCCCGTCATCACCACTGACAGCCCGTGCTGCTTTATTACCACGATTTCAGAGCTGAGTGCTGGATTGCTTATTATCGCTATTCAGCGCCCCCCCCAACCCCCTCCCCGTCCTCTCCTTCCTCTAACTCCCCCCCCCCCCCTCCTTCTTCTCCTCTCTGGCTCTCTGCTTGTGCTATAGCGTAACACTGCAGTCCCCCGTAGTAGCTGACTGCGCTGGAGTCTGCTGCAGAGAAGGCGGAGAGATGGAGAGAGGGGAGGGGGGGAGAGGATGAGAGGTGTTTTTGGTTGGGGATGGGGGTGGGGGGCTTAGTTTGAAAGGAAATCAGAGTAAGAAGCAGTAGAGGAGGAAGAAGAAGAAGAAGAAGGAGAGGATGGGGGTAACTTTGTGCACCCCCTCGTTTTGCCTTTTTTCATTTTCTGCTGAGCTCGGCACGCTCGTATCCGTTTATTGATCCGCTCGCCTCATTCAGGTGGATGTCTCAGCTGAATGGTGCTCTCTTTTGTAAGAAAAACCTCCCCCCCTCTCTTCCTCTCTCCTTCCCTCCACGCAGCGGGGTGCGATGGAAATTCCCAGTCCCTCAAGGAGAGAAACAAATACCAGCCCTCACACACCAGCACTCACACACCGACACACACGCTGCTGCGGCACCGCTAATGTCATTTTGACCTCATTCTCAGAGGCTGCGTTGCACACGGGGGGTTATTTTTGTTCATCGTTATTCTGCTGTGATGTCACGCTGGAGTTTAATAATGAAGTGCTGCACTTAGACTCGGCAGAAAGAAGCTGTTAGCACGTGAAATACTGACTGCAGTTTCAGGTTAGGTCATGTGACCAAAGAGTTTCATCTGGGAAAGATTGTACCTTGGCTACTGTGAAAAATATATCATATATATACAAATGGAAAATTATCAATCAAATACAAATTGGTGTGCTAGTGATAGTCAGAAAATACCATCATTGGTGTTTCTTTTTTGTAACAGAATGTGTTTCAGTATAGTTAACATTTTATTTAATTACATTATGAAAAATAAAATGCATTCCAGATAACTTCGGCTAGTATTATCATTATAAACTCCTCTTTTGGATGGGGGCGACAGGGGGGGGGTCAAAGCTCATTGTCACAGGGGCACTGGCCACCGTTTCCCCCCCTTAGAACGGCACATGACCATGTTCACTAATGCAATTGAATGAAGCTTCCAGTCTTTATGCTAAGCTAGGCTC